TCCAGCGTCCGTCAGTCCGTGGCGAGACCACGGTCTCACACGCTCGGTCCTTCCTACTCAGAGAGCGTCCAGAAATCCAACGCGGGCACCCAGACACGCTGGTCAGTGCCTGCAAGAGGGGAAGCAGGAGATGTGGACATGAGCAGAGGGGAACCCAGTGTGGGAACGGAGTCCAAACCAGCCACGTCATGCAGCCCCCAGGCAAAAACGGTGGAGCATCATCAGCCATCTGCAAAGTCAGTGCAACTCTTCCCATACAGGGTGACCATATGCAGCTTCTGCTGGAAAGTTTTGGGAGCGCCGCACGAGCTCATGCTTCATGCCAGTCACCAGACCCCACCAGGACTTAAGGAAACCCTCAGGACCGGTCATGGCATCACTGCCTAGGGCAGATTTTTGCACCTTCCTCTGAAGCAGCTGGGGCTGCCAGGTACAGAGGGCACATACTGATACAGAGCTGACCCTCCCGAGGTCCAGGACCCAGGGACTGTGTTGGGTTTACACATGCCCCTGATACGTCTGTATATGAAGCCCAAAATAAAGCTTTGCCTCCACTGCCAGCTCCAGGAAAGATTTCACCAATACATAACAAAGGACCACTATTTTTCCACCTTCCTTTGCTCCTGAAAAGTTAGGATAGACCGGTGAGAAGCTGCCGCTGAGTACAGGCTGGCACAGGCACTTCACCCTCCCCAGCACTGGGGCTTCAGCAGGCAGCGTCCCCGGGCACGCAGCAGGGCAGGAGCACCGCAGACCTGCCAGCACACTTCTCATGAGCTTGCTTCCCAGCTGCTCTGGAGATAGCATACGTGGCATTTCCCTCCTGGTTTCAAGCCTCTCGACTCTGCTATACCCCCCCGCCAACATTTGCTCTCCCATCTCCTCTCTCCTTCCAACTCCCCTCCATCTGCAGAAGCATCAATACAAACCACTTGCACAGACACTTACTTGCGCTCCCTTTCATCCGAGCTCGGCAGCCTTTTCTCCTCCCTGGAGCTCTGAGGTTTGCACCTTGTGCTATGACTAGAGACAGCAAATTCAGCAGCAAATGTTCTTTGAAAGCAAGAAGGAACTAGAGCTCTTCTACCAAGAGTTTGATGAAGTTCTCCTCCAGCATCTCAACCAGCGCTTGCTCCTTGCAGGGTGACCAGCAAAGCTCGTTTGCATCATTTCTCTGGGCTAGGAAGCATCACCCTCGAGCAAACGTGCTGCTGGCAGCAGAGAGGGGGTTTCCAGCCATCCAGCTCAGTGGATCAGCATGGAAGTACAGCACAGATTTTTACGTAAGCAGTGGCTGTGCTTGCTCAGACTTGCTCTACATGGGAGTTTTCTCCATTCAGTGAGTGGGGGAAGGTTTTAACAGCATCTGAGAAAACACGACTAGAGGCAAATTGCAGCTGTTGGTCATGCAAGCACACAGGAACCGCTGTTCTTGTGCAGGCACGAGTGTACACGTGTCCTCAGAGAGAGAGATGTAAAAATTCTTTCCTGCTCTAGCATGTATATGAAGAACCTGATGCCACCACTCTTGCACACATCTTTCCGGACACAGCTATTTCTTTATCAAAAGAGGTCTTGCTAATCCTTCCCCGCCTGACAACACAGTGTCGTCAGGAACCCTGAAGTAGCAGATTGCTTTGGGAAGGAATCAGACTAACAGATTATTCAAATTTTGCCAAGAAGGGGAAAGCTGAACTGAGGTCGTGCTTGCACTGCAGAGCAAGCGGTGGAAGGCAGCGAGGTGACCATCAGCCAGAGGAACTGCTGTTAGCAAGGGGCAAATACCAAGGCCCTTTTTGTGCCGTATTGTTTGCTTTCTGCAGAATATGTTATGTTTGCCTTACTGGCTACTTCTGCAATATGTATGAAAGAAAATTTTTCATGCTCAGTGAGTTAATTATTAGCCATGGACAAGTGGCCACTGAGCAATTAAAAGTCACAATACAAGGAAGAAAGCATAACAGAACACCTTTCATCTTATCACGGAAATAAAAGCCTTTTTCTTCTACCGGGAATTACCCTTAATAAAATTTTGTCACTTGACGCCCTGAAATCAAGTTCCTCTGAATGTTTATAAAGACTTTACTTGGCACGTATAATTTTCTCTAGAATGTGGAGTACACGAATAGATCAACAGCCGTGCTCAGGAAATGCACATTCCCACCACTGCACCACGCAGTGTCCAACAACACGCTCAGTTCAGGCCAAAGAAAATGGTTTAGAGAATTAAGAGCCTTGGCTTGTTCTGAGCCATCACTCAGTCCAAAACAAGGGGAAGGTAAAAAATATTCATCCTGAAGACTATGGACACATTTCAAGAGACACAGAGTTTGGTTTGGCATTCCCCAATAGCCATCATTGAGTCCTGGCCAAAGGTTAATTTTGGTGCAGTAGATTTGGGATATACAGGTAGGACAGTGCTTTACTTGGTTTAAGTCGGATTCTTGGAGGCATGGGCAGTGGGGGGTAAATCCCTGCATCTCACTAACTTTACCAGCAGCTGAGGAAACAAAAAAAAAGTAGAGATGAAAATATTACCTTTCTTCTCTTTTGCATGTCCTTGAAAAGATCAGGGAAAAGAAGAGCAGTAATTAAATACAAGGCTTCACACAGGAACCCTGCTCTATGACATAAGGAAGGAATTTGTACATAAGGAAGAAATTTTTGCAGTGAGGGTGGTAAGACACTGGAACAGGTTGCCCAGAAAAGTTGTAGATACCATCAGTGGGAGTGTTCAAGGTCAGGTTAATGGGGCTTTGAGCAACATGACCTACTGAAAGGTGCCCCTGCCCATGGCAGGGGGCTTGGACTAGATGATCTTCAGAGGCCTTTTCCAAACCAAACCATCCTGTGGCAGCAGGTTTTCCCAAGGAGTGGTTTTGGCACTCAGGTTCACAAGTGAACAAGCCTGCCTTCCACTGCATGAATAAGATTGAAAGAAAATATGACCCCAGCTATTAACTGATAGAAGCAGCATTATCTCCTGGCAAGGGTCAAGTGAGCAGTTGAGCTCTGGGCTGCCACCTGACACTGATGCCTGCCAGGGCTCAGCGGCTTTTGGACCATTTTTGGACTTCAGCCTTGTGATGGGCCGTTCTGATTTACAGGTATAGAACCAGATACCATTTCTGATTTTGAATCAAGTCTCTTCTGCTTTGGCCAAAATTGCTTTTTATGCTGTGCACATTGCCACTGTTGCCTGCCCAAGGGACATTGTCCCCGGGCCACTCTGCTCCGACGGACACATTGGTGGCTTGGAGGCATTGCATTAACTGAGTTTGTCATAAGAACTCCCCTCATTTTACATGAGGGGAGGCTGGGGTGCTGGGATGAGACCCACGGGCAGTCACGATGCCATGCAGCACCACAGGCAAGAGCAGAGGTATCACCTCCCTCTTTCCCATTCAACTGCTCAACAAAAGTGATTAAGTTCTGTATTTCTCTCTAGCTCAAGTAGCCACAACCTTCATATCCTCCAGGCACGAGGATTATTAAGATGACTTGACCATTTAACTTAATAATTTTGCAGATGTGACTACCCACCAGCTTCTGTGCCTTTTCCAGGGAATGCCAGAAAAATGACTTTACTAGTGTCTATCTTCCTGCTCGCCTTCCTCCCAGCTGAATCCGCAAGCAGCAGATACCCCCCCAAGGCAGCAAGTAAGTGTAACCTGTCTGGGGCAGAGGTGTTTATGGGTGGCCTAAGACCAGAGGTGGCATTACTAAGGGGGAAGCCGGGTTCAGGGAGTGTCTCTACCCCCCGTCATTGCCCACCACTGGGTCTGTGCTTGCCCCGCTGCGCCCGACCTGCTCTGCAGTCCCCTTGGGTTGCGTAGCGCAGCTGACATTCACAGCCAACATGTTTTCCTCCTGCAGTCGCAAGCCCGGTGTTCGGACCTCGGCAGGTATACGGTCTGCTCAATGGGACGGTTACCGTGAAATGCTTTTACCCTCCCACCCGTGTGAACAGACACGACAGAAAGTATTGGTGCAGGGAGTCGGCCACGGGCTGCATGACCGTTGTCTCCACCAGCGGCTACACTGCTCCAGGCTACCAAGGCAGACCCTTCATCACTGACTATCCACAGGCGGAAAACTTCCAGATTAACCTCTCCGAGCTTACAATGGCAGACGCAGGCACCTACCAGTGCGGTATTGGCATCAATGGCAGAGGGCTTTCCCATAAAGTCAGTCTGGATGTTTATAAAGGTAATTACAGTCTTGGGGCTCCTTAAAGTATTATTTTCTTTTACTTTTTTCCCCCCTTTTTAATAAGGTTCCACAGATAGTCTGTACAGTGTCTAAGAGCTCAAGATGGTCCATGCTTTCAGGAAACAGGAGGTTTGATTTTCCCCTGTGCTCACAGAGAATTAATTTTTTGACCAAAAATCTGGCATAAAAATCAGATTAAATGAACCACATCTTAAGGTCGCAAACATTGCTTAGAAACTGCTGACCTCGGCCACCGGAGCCTAGAGAGATGCAGTCAGAGGGCAGAACCGCCCGTCACTCCGACGTACCCTGCAACCCACGGCTGAGGCTGCGCGAGGCAAGCCTGTGCACAAGCCCACGAGATGCAGGATGGCACCGCGCTGCTGGGCAAGGCCCAGGCTGCAGAGCACGGTGCGGACTTGTGGCACGGCCCCGGGCAAGAAGGCTCTTGGGAGAAGCCCCACCATAGAGCAGGCAGCGATAGAGCACAGAGACCTCAGTCCCAAAACGTGCGACAGACATGGGACACAGCTGGACAGACCGTGCTCTGACCAGGAGCGGCACGTGACCACGTATTATAGCAAAGTACAGAGGAACCCTATGCTAAAAAAAGCCTTCCAACGTACGGGGGAGTCACACACGGTTCCCAACAGAGCAGGCGGTAGACGCTGACTGGTGTCTCTGTACGCACAGGTCCACACGTACCCGAGGGAGCTGAGCTCTTCTACGTGAAGCTGCACAGCACTTTGACCATGTCCTGCAGCTTCAGCAAGGAGAATGAGAGCATGAGGAAATTCTTGTGCAAGATGGAGAAAAGCGGCTGCCGTGAAATTGTCGATAGTCACGGGAAAGTTGATGCGGATTACAGAGGGCGAGTTCTGCTGAGCAACGACGAGTCTCCAGGCTCCTTCAGAATCGTGATGACTCACATGGGCTGGGAGGACTCTGGCTTGTACCTGTGCGGGGTCGGCTCCTATGGGGAGGACGGAGAAACAAAGGAGCTGGACGTGCATGTCTATGAGGGTAAGCTATTCCCGGTGCTTTTTCCCTTCATCTCTGCTTCTCTTCAGAAGCGTAACGAGCAGTCTCACTTTATTTAACAAGAACTTTGATTTCCCTTTGCAGAGTGCCATTATCCTATCCTCTCATCTAGATACATCTTTCTATTCATTTAGCTATCTGCAACATACTAAACCATCACTAATAAAGCTTGTATCAAGACTTACTTTCCCAGCAGTGGCTAGCTATCTTCCCCAGTCTGGCCAGCCCAACTTCAGAAGGCAAATTCTGCCTACCAGTTTGAGACAAGCAAACTGTCTCTTCAAGTCTTAATTCCTTAAATCTCAAAATGGCAGATGTAGAAAGGAGAAGATCTGCCCCTCCCCTAGCAAAGGGAGCAAAACTTTGAAATGTTACCACGCAAAAACAACAACAAAAGAAAAAGAAAGTCCTGACAGACACTTTAGGGCCAATTCCCAGCAGTGCAAGGACAGTCTCCTACTGTCTGCACCCCTGAGCTTCACTTAGCCTTGCTTTAGCCAAAACAGTTCTGTTTGATCTGATAATATTCTCTTGGGAGAGTGCCACATGGGCAAAAGTTAGACATGTATAGCTGCTCATTTCATTTTTATCTCCAGAGACAAATGTTCCTCAAGGAAAGCCCACAATAATTGGAGTAAATGGAAGTTCAGCAACTTTTGAATGCAACTATGAGCCTCTAAAACGGTCCTTAGTGAAGTACTGGTGCAAGTGGAGACAGAATGGGTGTGCTCGGATCATAGACAACTCCGGGTATGTGGCACGCTTGTATGAAGGAAGAGTGGCCATGTACGATACTCCGAATAACAAGACGATCACCATCATCCTGACCCAGCTGAAGGGCAGTGACGAAGGCTATTACTGGTGCATGACAAACGAGGAGAAGGAGCAGCAATCATCAACTGAGCTGAAGATCATAGACGGTACGAGCTCACACGCTGGCAATTCTCTGCCTGCTCAGTAGGTACAAAACAACCTCCTAAGCACCCAAAGGAGCAGATCTGGCTTTTCAGGAAGAGATGAGAGGTCCAACTCTGACCTTTTATCTCATAAGGTGAAACATTGTGCCAATCCCAATACCACACCCCGGTAGCTTTAAAATGGAAACACAAGCTTTCAGTTTTATGGGAAAGTGTTCACAAAACTTCCTCATGCAAGCATTTCTTAAGCCTTGCAAAAAAAAAAAAAAAAAAAAAAACAAACACCCAGCTTCCACTCAGAAATGCGTATACCGCATCCTTAACATTAATTCAGCAATGTAAGGAGCACTTTCCCTCAAAGATACATCTCCTGCTTTGCCATCTCTGGCAGCACCGCTACCTGTCGGCTGCCATTCCCACCACTGAAACCACTAACATCAGCCTTGATGTTCTCTTTGCCCTCACAGGAGAACCTGGACTGAAGGGAAAGAAGGAAGTGAACGCACAAGTGGGTTCACAGGTCGATTTAACTTGCTCTTACCCCTGCAAGTACTACTCCTACCAAAAGTACTGGTGCAGGTGGAGCAGCACCAGCTGCACCCCCATGCCCGCTTCTGACCAGAGGCAGCCGGGGCCGGGCGTTGCCTGTGACGCTGACAACAAGACGGTTATCCTAAGCTTTGACTCGGTGACGAAGGAAGACCAAGGGTGGTACTGGTGTGGAGTGAAGCGTGATGGCCTCTTCGGGGAAACCATGGCAGTCTACCTGCGGGTGACTGAAGGTGAGCTCCAAGGCAAAGGCGGGCAGGAGCTTTCTCCTCCCGGCAGAATCGTGCCGTCTCCTGCTGGGAGAAGAGTCCTCTCCATAGCCACTAGGCTGCAGCACCACAAAACAGAAGTGCTGTCGTCCCGGCAGCCTCCCAGACCGGCTGCCGAGATCACCCCGGTGCTGCACAGCTTGTCATAGGTGTTTGCATCCACTCGCTGGCTTCTGCTCCCCAGCCATGAAAAAACCCACTGGTCTAAAAATCTCTTCCTTCCACCCAGTTTTACTTTTTAAACCCTGTCCTTACAAATTGTTGCTATTATAATTCGTAGCATCATTTAGATTAAGCAACATCTGACACCTGTCAGGTGAAGGGCTGCATGTAGTTCAGAGATGCATCTTGCTCCAGGGAGATTATTATCTTAATAAACAGGAAAACAGTAGGCAGCAGGAAAGGAAGGGCTATCCCCAGCTCTCCTGGGAGAGCAAAGGGGCTTAAGATTCAACTTGGTGCAGTATTCTGGAGTTAAGATGTTTTTCTCAGTAAGGAATATTGTTAGAAGCAGAGCAGAGAAAAAGCATAGCACTAGATATCCCACGCGCAACCGTCTTAAGTGGATGGTAGTCAAAGCAAAAGCAGGTAGAGAGAAACAACCTCATTTCACTGTCTTTGGTAGGCAAAGAGCTAGAAAGAAAAGCAAGCCAAGTATTCAAAAATCTGTTCTGGAAATACCAGAGGCAGAACTTACAAACGCAAGATATTTTTCAAAAATATATAGGCAGAGGGAGCCTACTTGAGATTTTTTGCTAATAAATTAGTTGGAGTAAGATTATTCCAGATCTCCCAACCCCATTTTAAAGAGCCTCTCATGTACAGCCAAAACCCGCTGCAGTTCCACATGCACCAAATACAGCCAACTAGTTTTTCTGACACCACCTCCGTGCTCCTGCCCACACGACTAACCACCCTTCTTCCCGGGATGCAGGAAGCGGTGCTGACCGCAGCCTAGAGCCCCTGGACATCGATGCCCCCAGCGATGCCAAGGCCCCCAGCCCTGCCCAGGACGGCTTTATTCCCCAAGGAAGAGCCTACAGCGACGCTGAGGTGCAAAGCGCAGCTGCCTCGGAAAGGTTAGTTCTCTCCAAGCCTCTGTCATTCATCACTTTTGTGACGTTTCTATTAACCCATTGTTGGTACGGTGTTTGCACACCGTGTGTGTGGTTTAGCAACAAAGAAATTCTTGTCCCCAAAGAACTTAGCTCAAAACATCATAGGAAAAGAAGCAAAAAGTTACCGCAAAAGGCAAGATGTCTTGAAGCCCAAGTAAGAAAATACAGTCTCAGAAGGGAACAATTAGAGATTCCAGGTACAGAAGAACTAATTGAAAATACTTCTGTCAAGGTTAGAGAGCTTTCTTTCACACATTTATAACCCAGCTGCTGATGTAGCTGGTTTGGCACAGCCTCTGTCCCACATTTGTATTTGTTCCCCTGTGATGTGCTGGGATCCAGTTCATCAGTCGAATTGCATCACACTCAGATGTACCATCCTATATACACATTTTAGACTGCTGGAAATTCATGTACATTATTCAGTCTTGAATAATTAAAAAAAAAATGCATTTCACAGCTTAATGATACACCTTTCCCTCCATTCCAGCTCTGACCAAAGCCATGGCCCCAGTATACTCGTTTTAGTCCTGGGCCCTGTTGGTGCTGTGCTCCTGATCCTCGTGACGGCTTTTGCCGTCTTTAAATACAGGCAGCTGAAGAGATCTGGTGAGTCCTCGCCTTTTCTGGTCTCTTAAGAAGTGTCAGCAATATTAAGGCAATATTTCGTGCACGCGGGCGTCTCTGCCGGGCTGAGCTGCTGCCCCGGGACCCGCCAGGAAGGGACCCTGCTTCTGCCCCTGACATCACCCGTACGGCTCCGACACCCAGCGTACAGGGTGCCCGGGCTGCGACAGAGACCACCCCTCTGGGGGCTTTGCACGTGCCATCGCACGGCGTCTCCTCGCAGAGGTGGTCCGGACGCCGAGGCGCTCGCCCCGGCCCTGAGCAAGCGTGCGGGGTATCTGTCTGCTCCCTCTTAACAGACCTGGTGTCCGTCGGGAGCTACAGGACGAACATCAGCATGTCGGACTTCGACAGCGTGAAGGAGTACGGCGCAAGCAATAACGCCTGCGCGAAAGAGAGCCAGGAGACGCGCATGGGAGGGGACGGTAGGTGCAGACGGGTGGGCTTGCTCTCCCTCCCCAGCCCCGGGGCGAGGGGCTTGCAGAGGGACCCTACAAAAGCCACAGCCCGCCCGCCCACGGCCCCCGCGCCCTAACGC